TATTATATACTTAAATTTAATAAATAAATATATAATAAAATTTTTAATTTTAAACCAAAGACTTGCGAAACTCACTAGTAATCATATAATCATGGAAATTCAAGCTCAACCTCGTTTTTATTTTTATATCAAGTTCGATATTAAGTTCAAATTCGATTTGTTTACCAAATGAATTGAGCTTGAATTAAGTTTAACTCAAAGCAACTCAGAAGTTATTTATGAACCACTCTACTCGTTAACAGCCATAATCTTGATCCTAGAAAGGTCAATCAAAAGTTATCTTTCATTCTCATCTTCTATTGTCTACTTTCGACCTTCAATGTTTTCAATTAGTGAAATTTCTCTGCTAATTTACTTGGCTCATTAGCATTTCTCTCTTATTGTTGATTGAGATTCAATAAGTAATGGGTCACAACTAAGTAAAATTTTAAGAATCTCACAGTCCTAGTATGATTAATCTGTTCTTAAAATGGACTGGGGAGATCAGAACCTGAAAGAGAAGGGAGAAAAGATTTACCCTTTATACTGGTAACACAGATTCAAAAACCCAAATCACTTGTCTTGAACCATGTAATGTGCAGGACATGGTTCCTAAGTTAATGCTTTGGAAAAACCGGCGCCTGTTTGGGTTAATATGCCCATCTTTCTCCCCATCTTACTGTTTATTCCTGCAGTCTAATGCTTCAAAATCTTTCACAAGCTTCCAAACACATTCAAGGGATGGCTCAAAGCATCAAAAAGTAAATTGATATCACTTCACTTGGAAACTTGAAGAAAATGAGGAACACAGGGCATGGTTAAGTCACCATATTATTTTCATACTTAACAAGGGTCATTGGCTTTACCCAGCATAGGGGCCAGCCCTGCAGGTAGTGCCATGGAACATCCAGAGCATCTTACTAGAAAGCAACTAGCAACTTGTTCGCTTGCTTATGATTAGACAATCATCAATCAGGGCAGACAACAAATACTACTTTGCTATCATTACAATGAAAGTCTTACCTGCCCAAATCAACATCGACACCATCTTAGCCTGGAGGCCAGTTCATTTGGCAGCCGCCAAGGAGGTGGACGTGAATGTGATAAACAGATTGACCTGCAATGGAACATTCCTAAATCAATAAAAGTTCTAAAACATATATGACACATAGTTAAGCATGTCAAATGGAGAAGGAAGAAACTGTACATACATCCTTGTGGGCCATCATTAATCACAACCCTGAAGCCATCTTCTAGTCCTTCCTGCTTGGCTACCAGCTTAGCACTGTAAAGAAGGTGGCCAAGAATCTCAATGTTCCTTTCCTCAGCCTACAGATATAAGAATAGAAATTCTCAGTGACAATTGTACAAATTCTTTCAATCATCTTTTGGCATGGAAAAGAGCACAGTATCCTATATCCAACAATAAAAATATTTTAATAAAGTTCCATTTGAGGATAAGAATAAGAATAATCAGGACTTGCTGAAGTGGCCAAACAAATGTCAGTTTTGAGTGCCACTTCCCACCTATGAGGCTACAAAAATATTGAAATATACAGCCAATGCATTGTTCTAAGCCACACTTAGCTCAAAGAAGTAACAATGAAGCCAACAGTTATGGAAATTGAACACAAAACAAACCATTGGCAATGCGTAGTTAAAGTGCTTTTATCAAGGTCTTACACTTCTGATTTTGGCAAACACTTCAGTGAAGGATGGAATGCAGAGAAAGCACCTACCATATTTGCATCAAAGCACCACAAACAAGAACCGTTTTACAAGCATGTTTACCACTCTTTTAGAGCAAATGTTAGAATAGGTCAGGCAGATTAGCAGAGAAAATCAAGCAGGTATCTTCTAAAACAGGTCTATGTTTGAAGGGGTTAGATTTTTAAAATGGTCACATTCCTACCAAGACATAAAACAGGGTGTTCGCAAATCATGCAAAAGCTAGCTGAGGCAAGATATTTTCAAGTGGATGCCATACCAAATTACAAAGAAAAAAGGGACATTCATACTCTATTGAGTTACATTTCATAGATGGCATGGTAACATATTGAAGAGAAAGAGTTGTACTGCAAGGCCCATGACTTTCCCCAAACTAGAGTAAAAAATTTTTGTCTTACCCTATATGATTGAGAAAGGGGATTACCTTTGACAGTCCAGTCAAGCCATCTTTTACTTTGGGAATAATTAGAATATGTGTAGGAGCTTGAGGAGCTATGTCCCTAAAGGCTAACACCTGGAAAAGCAAACAGAAGAAAGCACAAACAAATTATAAAACCAGAAGCAATGGATCATCTACCATATGCAACCATATATATTAACTGGAAACCATAGTATACTCAGCCATTTTCAAAATTAAAATATAGAAGCAAAACTAGTAATTCATCTACACAGATAATCAGAACAATGCATCTATTATATGATTCAAGAAAACAACACTAGTTGTTCGATCCAACCGTAAAATACTTTTTGCAAAAAATTGGATAGTCTATTAAAAAAATTGAACTAAATACAATTCATGTAGTTGTTCGCACCCAATAACTAAAAGTAGAACCAAACCACCTTAGTTCACTTCTAAACAAGAATTGTGCAAAAGCATCCAAATTTTATAGTCAAGGTTCTGTCTTTAGCTACCCTACTAAACTACTCACTACATCCACCCAAACCTTAATCAGTCCAAACCATTACAAATAGAAATTTCACCATGTCCCAACAGATAAAAAGGATTAGCAGTACCTTCTCATCCTCATAAACAACATTTGCTGGAATCTCTTTATTGATGATTTTGTCAAAGCTGCAGGTAATGCATTTAGAAAATATATAAAAATGGATGGAAAACTATTTTTACAAAATCCTAAAGGACAATTCAATTCTAGTAACACCTAAATTACTAAAACAATCAATGAATATGTTTGGATATATGAAAAAGGAAAAGGGTTCCGATATCATGAATCAAACTGGCATTTTTTTTTTTCTATAATTTCTAAGAAAAGTTGTTTTCGTTCTTTTCCATTTTCCGTCGAGTCAAACAGAGCGCGTGTTTCATCTGTGTGCGTTTCAAAAATAGAATCAAAAGAAAAGGCAGAAGAGAGAAGAAACATACATGGTCGGAGCACCGGGGGGGACAGCCGCAAGAGCGGCTTCTTTCTCAGAAGCCATGGCGGAAGATGAAGAATCCGGAGACAAATGGGATCGCAGCACGGTGAGTGTGCTGCTAACAGGAACTTTTATTTATTTATTTATTTATTTTTTGACAATGAAAATTATACGGTTAAGTTAGTATCTGTTTTACACTGGGAAGATTCGACCTCAAAACCAAAGGGTGCATTCCACTTTGCTGCTGCTGAGCAGCGTGGCCACGTGGGCCACGTAGGGGAATGCGGACCTCTTATATTTTACTTACTAGTTAATACCCCGGGCATCGCCCGGGCCGTGAAATGTAAAAAATATATATTTAAAATTTTAATATAAACTAATATATTAATAAAAAAATAAATAATAAAATATTATTAGAATACATATATAATGTTATATAAGATTAGTAATATTTTTTTTATTAGCAAAAAAATTTTATTAAAGAGGTAAAAAGAGTACCTCAAATATGTTTATAAAACTA